GGTAAAGGTCTATGAATATATATATCATATTGTTGATTGGAACCTGACTACTGGAACCTGGCTCTACACAAAATTTGTCAAGTTAACTGATTTATTTTTAAGCTTATACGTAATTACACAGAATTTCTTATAACAATGGCCAACAGAAAAGTTTCTGCCATGTCAGGTGATTCAGAGCCAGTTTGCAGCCTAGGCTGTATTTAAGAGAGAAAAATACACAATTAATTCACTGTGATTAAATTTAAGATAGACACAATCACCTACATCTCTAACTGTTGCAGAATCATGTACTTAAACAGGAAGTTCATATAAAATATATACCTGCTTGCTCAGTTTTAGAAACCAAATGCTGACTACTTGCTAGTAAGTTAATAATAAAGGTATATACAGCTCTCTCAGGACATCCATTTTAGATACCTCATTTCCCTATTCAGATGTATTATATGAATAGCAAAGAAGCTATCAGCATATATTTAGAAGCATTGTAATAACTAATGTGATTACACAAAAATAGTCCAGAGGGGAATGATGAATACAAAACAAAGGGTTTTCCGCTGAACATCAAAAACATGAAGTGTTAGAGGCATGAATATTCTGACCGCTTGGCAAATGTCAATGGCTAAATATATTAAAATGAGGTTAACAGTAGAAAGAGTTTACAAGAGAAGTCAAAGACTATAGAATTAAAAATTCTTCTACAATAAGAAAACTCATCAGGTGAAGGAAGATAAGAGAATCATAAATTATGAAGACACAGGTATTTGGAAGGGAAGCTTTAAGAAAAACCCAACCCAACTTGAGTGCAACTCAAATAATTACCAGATTTCTTTCTCCTCCTCAATTTGGTTAAATGTTTGTGCAGCTGAATACTCTGGTTAAGCCATGAGGCCAGATACTATTTGCAGCAAGCAGGCCAGTCTTATAAGACAATGTCACTCTCTGCTCTAGAAGAGGTCAAGCAGCTTTAAAGGAACCCTAGCCTAGCAGAGAAGTGGGGTGCCCTTGGATAAGCCCTTCAATGACCCCACAGTTGAGTAAAACTCTAGTAGAAAGGGAATAAAATGATACTATACAGACACCATGAGTGAGCTTTCCATGATAATAAGACTACACAAACATAACTTGACATATTTGTATAATTGATTGCAGGGGAGAGGTTGCCTTTTGATGAAGCCTTGGCCCTTATCTGAAAATTAGACAAAGGAAGGAGCTTCTACCATGTCCTTTGCCAACACTGTGCAACACTTTTTTCCCCTTTAATATAAAATTTATTTATATTTCCCCCCTCTACTACTTCAGAGTTAGCCCACTGTTTTATAACATACCAAACATAATCCTGCACAACAAAGAATGCCTTATACCCATCACTTTTATTTAAATATGCAGAATCTGAATACATGTTGAATAGATACCTAAGGAAGTTTAGGCATGTCCACCATGTGTCTGCCAGCTCTTTGAAATACTACTGAGGGTACTCTTGCACTGTAAGCCTTTCTTAAATATAGATTTGCTGGGATGTGTTGGCAGTCCAGTTCTCCTTTTTGCTTATGATACTACACTCATACATGCCAAATAGAAACTCTCCACACTGAACAACTTAAAACAGTCCCCCTGTGCTCGTTAAGACTTTCCCAAGAGTGTGGAGAGAATATTTCCACCAGATGGTCATATAGTATTGATACAAACCTACAAAAAGCTACTTTAGCATAACAGCATAGTTTTGCACCATCTTTAACAGTAATATTAATCATATTAAAATAAAAATCTTTTTTGCAGAAAATTATTGCTGAAATGGGCTTGTTTTCTCCTCTGTTCATTTTGCCACCTGCCATCAAGCAAACACTTTTTTTTTTTTTTTGCTGTTTCTAATCCTTCTTAAGTCTGTTTTTGGAGCAACAGGATCAGTGATGCTGACTGCAGTTACAAACAAGGTTTGGTAAGCGTCCTGTCTCCCCAGAGGAGAATGAACCATTTTACACAATGCAAGATTATCAGTTCCTCAGAGTAAGATTATTTTTAAAAGTAAGTATTAATGAAGCTGTATTTAGAATTCAAAGGACAGGAAGGCCTGGCGCGATATGGTTCATGGGGTCATGAACAGTTGGACACGACTTAATGACTGAACAACAACAACAACATTTAGGATTCAAAGTACATTACATAATATTAAATTATAACTTCTACTGACCATTGTATATTCTTTTATGAACTAAAGCTGTTGGGATAACATATGATTTCTTCTTATAGGAAACTACAGATATACAGATTAATTTTTGTACAAAAATTTGCTCTATACTAAACAGAACACTTGAGACACAAATGACCAAGTCAAATTATCCTATTTTGGACACATTATATGAAGACCTAACTCTAGAGAAGGCTCTAATTCTGGGAAAAGTGGAAGGAGAAAGAAGAGGAGGATGACCAGCAGCAAGGTGGATAGACGCAGTTAGAGTGGTGATGGGTGCATTGTTAGAAGATGTGAAAGTCCAAATTAGGGACTGATCATCATGGAGAAAATCTATTTATGTGGTTGGTAAGAGTCAACAATGACTTGATGGCACATAATCTAACATAACACATCAACAACAACAGTGATATTTCAAATAAAGCTATGAAACTGGAAAATTAGGATAATATCATTATAGCCAATTCATGACTTGATGGCACAGAATCAATCAATCAGTCATTATAGCCAATTTTTTAAATAATTCAAATACTGAGTTGCTTAAACTATTGTTCAGCAACTACAACTACAACTTTCTGTTGCTTTGTTCACGTTTATTATTTACCTAAGCTATTTTATGACATCCTTCAGTCATTCTTCATGGTCTGTTAATAAGGACATAGTTTGAAATATCAAATTCTATAATAGGATAGGGAAGTTACTCTATTTCTGCATTTCTTTCATCTGCTGAGGTGCACCACCTCCAGTTGATGGTTGGGCTGAAAGGGAATAGAATGTCTACGCCAATTCTGAACCCGTGGTAAACTCCATCCTCCTAGGGCTGAAGCAGATAACAGTTTGAAGGGCAATTACAGGTTTAAAGGGCAATTACAATAAAGGCACAATACCAAGTGAATATACAGATATTCACTAACAAATTGAAGTATTCTCCACCCATCATCATTAGGAAACAATAAAGGTGGAAAATTTGTGGTCCCAATTGGTTGAATACTTTGACTTTATTGCCCTTCCCATTTTACAACATCGCTAATTAGCTAGAAAGAACATTGTGATTGGGAAATGCTTTTAACAGATGGATGGACCCATGGATTTAGCTATCAGTCAAAAGGTGGTACTGAGACAGCAGGGTTGGTGAGGACTGCAAAGTACAGCTAGAAAGGCTTGCCTGCTTCATTGAGTGGCCCTCACCATCCTTGCATCAGGTGCTGGACTGGTTGCTGATCCATGAGGTGATGGAAGTTGCCTGGTAAAGCAAGTGCTCTTTTTCACTTGGTAGTCCTCCCCGCATAGGTAACCCATGGAAGGTCAGAGGCTGGCCTCTTCACGGGCTTTCAGGTCTCTAATCCCATAGAGCTGATCCATGGGATAGACGTTCTGCTGGATAAAGAGCTATCTCTCCCTGCTTCACATGCTACCCTTCCCAGCCTGGAAAACAACAGCAAGGGCAGGAGAAGAGCTCCTTATCTATCAGGTCTGTAACCTAGCTGTAAGCAAGCCTGAAAAACAAGTGATAAGGGGTGAGGGTGGGAGTTGAGTGGTAAAGCAGGAGAGATCTTCCTTCACTACATGCCCCCTCTGCATCTTTCAGTACTTAAGTCACACTCTAAACCCTATGGCTTAGAGCTTTTCTGAAAGACTGGTAAACTCATGTTCAAAAGCAGCTTGAAAAACAGTTGATGGGCACAGCTGATGGGCACAGTGGGAGGGAGTTGTGCCTTGAAGTCACCACTTCTGTCTACATCAACACCCAATGCCACTACTGGCCAGCTGCTATTTCATTGATTAAGATCTCTGAGGTAGGCTTCAAACTGCCCAAAGAATGGTCCTGGAAGATGGTGTCCAGGAACCATACTAGAGGGGCCACAGAGGCACCAGCCTAAAGTAGTCAGTAAGTCTGGGCTGATGGGGTCATTGAAACATTTCAGACTGCACCCATAGCAAAGTTTCCCCAGCTTGTTGTGTGCCTGTGGGTGGAAAACTTTAATACTGGAACAATAAGGATGACTTTAAGCTATCTCAGGGATGACCTGGGATGAGATGAAGGCAATTTCATGAGAAGATGCCAGAAAAAAGAGGTTGCTGGGGCATGTTTATGCTGTGCTTATGTGCAGGTGTGGAAAGGCTCATTTAACAACAGGAATTCTGTAAGTTACCCAGTTATAGTAACTAAACTATGTATCACTTTATTCCTGCTAATGGAGTAATACTTTTATCTTTAAATTATAATTAGGTGATCTACAATAAACCTTCACTATTCTTTTCTTTACTTGTAATTATGAGGAATTATTTCTTTCTGCTTTTTGTTTCTCTCATGAGACAATGGTAATGAACAAAGATTAAAAAAATGTGAATTGATATTATTGCAGAGTATCACCTAATAAAACCAAAGGTTTGTATTCCTGCCAAGAGTAGTAAAGTTGTCACGATTTAATGGCTAAATTCATGTAATATGATAAACCCTAAACCTGGGCTAATAAAACAAAATGTATGCATTCATATAATACATTATGCTCAAATAAATAAAACTTATTATTACACTAATGATCTGGTTCATACAACATGTTAAGATGCCTGCTGAGTTCCTCCAACATGTTGAATCCAAAACTTCTTAATCTGATTCTACCATAGTCTACTTATTATTTGCACTGAACCAATATGTCACTATGAGGACAAGACTTAAAGATAAGTAAAGCTTATTCATTTCAATAAGCCTTAACTGCACGTTATCAATATGCAGAACTACTGTATGAATTTACTTGCTTTGCTTTGAAAAACCTGGACAGTTTAGACTCAAAGCAATTTTGTTCCTCACCTCCAGAATGTGGTGGTGGTCCACAAAGCAACACCATTCCCTGTCCTTGTCGGACTGAAACTGTACTCCTTGTCCTGGTTTTGAAATTTTCAAGATCTGTTAGGAACAGACAAATAAATATACAATTACGTGTTACTACAATCAGTTTCAAACTAAGAAGGGAAGAATATTGTTTAGACTGAATTAACATCTGTAGGTGGTATGGGAGAAGATCATCTTTTCAGAGAGGACTCCCTTAATCCAAAGAATCCTCTCCCTGATCAGACTGTGAGGTGTAGCTTTTGTTTCTTCAATTGGTATCTGTGGTAAACATCTGGATTTTCTCTCTCATTCAACCACCACAGTTTAAATAATTTTCTAAACATATGGGGCCTTGTAGACATCATGTTCAAATTCTTTTAAATACAGGAAATCTAGAATTAGAGTATTCCCAATACATTGCTATTAGAAGTATTTCAGTATTCTCTAAATTTTTTTCTATTTTTCGCCCGGACCACAGTACTTTGCACATAACTAATAGCTGTTAGTCACTGTTGGTTGAATGAAACATAGCTAATTCATTCTAACTACAGAGATTGGTAATACATAACTCACACACACAACAGTTTCTTCAATATCCTTAAATGGTGCCAACAGAATCTTGCAATTAAATGTGAAATTACCAAATTTTGAGAGATTTCATCTTGTAAGAATGTTTGATGAAGATGATGATGATGATCATCATCATCATCTACATGACAAAGTAGCAACAAGGCATGACAAAGTAGCAACAATGGTGCATTGGAATATCTGCAAGAAATACCATTTGCCT